TGCAGCTTGCAACGGCGTGGCAAATGCATTTGCAACGGGTATTCAGCAGGCAGGCAGGCAGGCATTTACTTAGTTACGAGTGCGCGTAATTAACTTGAAATTAAAGTACAAAGTTTGCTTTAAGTTGACGCCCGTCGCTATTCCCTGTTCCCTATTCGCTGCGCACGCCCGCTAAACGCTAATTAGATCTTTTAGTTTCATTTAGTATTACCCCCAGTCTCCTGCCCACAGCCACCAGCCCACTGGCCAACCCACGCACCATTCAGCTGGCCAAGCAGCCTGCAAATGAATGAAATTAAAAGCACATTATACTTTATAATGTTCGCTGATTTGAGTCGGCAAATTTAATTTAAAGATTTGCTGAGCCAAGTCGCTTATCAGTGCCCCCAAGCGCGCCCCCATTCACTGAGCGCCCATCTCTCAAGTGAAGTCAAATTGTGTGTCATATATCAAAGCGACATGGCAGAGAATGGGAGGGTAGAATGTAAACATGAACAGGCAGCATGTCCCTGTTCCTGTCTCTCAATTGCTGCTCTGTCCCTGTTACTGGTCCTGGTCCGTATCCTATTCCCAAAGATAACCGCAGCGCCAAATTGCGGGCATAAGTGACTCTCGAAGGCACATAAATGCGGCAAATGTAGAATGGACCAAATTGATTGGGTGCCCCGACATTGATCAAAGTCATAAGTCAGCGACGGCGGCGGGCAGCCGCCTGCAAATCTCCATGTAAATATCCTTTTGCAGTTGAGTTGTCCTTTTTGTGCGACCCAACACTGCACAGCATGCCTAAGCAACTGGATTATTAACATTTCAATATAATTTGTGGCTGTGCGGCTGAGCGGCATTCATATTTTTGTGTTAGCAGCCCAGCCGTATCGGACCCAACTGGGCACCGATTTACTTTTCTGCTGACGTTTGGGAAAATTAACGCGCCTCAGGACTTTGATCCTTTTTTATATATATATATATATATATGTGTGTGTATGTGTGTACCCGCATATACTTATCCAGTGTATTAGTATGTGTGACAGCCCGCTGCGTGTTAGTCTTCGTTATTTGCTTACATATTCATCAATTTTTTGGGTTAAACTGTGGGCGGCTCGGGCTTTGAGGCTTTGTCGGTCTGCCCCATGCCCACACCCCGGCTGCGCACGTTTTGCGGTTGTTAGCGTCAAATTGTTTACTCTTTTTGGGCTTTTATATGACAGCGGGCAGTCCCAGCAGTCGGTCAGCTGGTGGCTTTTCGACTAGCCACTAAACGCTTTTAGCTTTAATGCATTGCCATTTAGCCAGTGAGTACATAATTGCCATTACGATTAAGCATACGCCATGTGGTCAATGGCCGCATGGATTTTGAAAATGAGTTTTTGCATAAATTTCACGATGCATAATCGATAACATATATGCAAAGGTGACATACATATTTACCCTGGCAAGTCTATCGACAGACCTCGCTTTGCTCCATACAGCTAGCGATAAATCTGTTCCATTCAACTCGAGGGCTGCCTACACTTAGCTGTTGCCTGCGACTCTCTGACTTTATGCGATTGCGTGTAATTAAGCGTTGCAGCTTATGTAAGACAAACAGGAAATAAGGTATAGCACAAACGCATAAATAACAATGGCAAATCAGCACACACACACTCACACACACGCACACACACACACATCAAACGGCTCAACACATAAATAAAGGCAACACAAACAGGGGAAACGGATAACATACAATTTACAGCAACTCTGGCAACGCAAACTAAATAAAGCTGTAAGCACACATACATAGGCCGAGCTTCCGCCTGTGATGAAAAGGTAGAGAAGTGGGCGTGGCAGGCAGCGCACTACTGACACACTTCCAAGCCGCATGGCCAGTGTCCTGGGCTGCAGTGCTACGCGCTGAGGTTGTTAGCGCTTTCAAGCCGGGGCAGACGGGTCCTCTGCAAATATACAAAACACTTGTAACAGCCGTGCGCCTGCCAAGGATTTTTAATTAATTTATGTGCACGTGTGCTGGTCTACACGATGATACAGTAGCTGAACGAATGGTAGGACTACTTCCGCAATACCAAAAACTTAATTAACTCATTACATACGCACGGTTTTAATCAGGCAACGAGTTGACGAGGTGGGCTAAAGAAATGCTGGCTGCGACGAGCTGCCAATACAGCACCAGGTCGTCTTGGCTGCCTATGCGAGGTAAATTTAAAGCAGCCTTTGACTGCAATTAGCGTGCACGGTTGTCTGTCTCACTCGGTCACCCTGTTCCCGCACTCTTTGCTCTCTCTCTCTCTCTCTCTCTCTGCCTGTGCGCAAGAGCAATAAGAACTTTGCTTTTCGTTCCGGATCATGAATATTACATTCGGTGGCTCCAATAAGCCTAAAGTCTGACTGCCAGCCAGTCAACCAGGCAGCCATCCAATGTGAAGTCATTCGCAAGTTGCGTGCATGCCTCAATTGTCGTTTCGCCTTTGAGCTGGCAACAGCAAGAACAGCAACAACAACAACGACAACACACAATTGACTTACAATAATGACAACAACTCGAGCTGTGAGTCGCAATTTGGCTGAGGGCCTCGTCCTGATCCTGCGCCTGTGCCTGTTCCTAGTCGAGTAAAACTTCAATCACGGCTGCGAAAAATGGCAACCAGCTAAGCCTTGCCGCCGACTGCTTTTACAATGGGCTCATTAATGGTGGCGTATACGCAATTTCCAATTAAATAAAAATGTGTGCACACTCACACGCACAAATGTACACACAGCAGCGATTTACTCGTTTCGGTTTGTTTTTAAAAGCCAACCTCACAGCCTTTTCGGCTCACTCACATTCTTGCTGTCTCTCTCTCTCTCTCTCTTTCTCTCTCTCTCTGTCTCTCTCACTCTCACTCCCTCACTGTCATCATCGTCGTGTGGCTGTGGCTTGGCCTGGCGAATTGCTTTTAATATTTATTTAACACAAAAGCTTTCCGCATTACGTTTCTGCTGCCGTTAATTTTTCGCTTTGCTTTTCATTTTCGCAAAATTACCGGAAATGTTAATTTCTGCACGTGCTGCAGACGACGACGTCGGCGACGGCGATGACGACGACGACAGCGACAACGATGACAAGGACACAGGACGCACGACACAGGACATGCAGCAGTCGAGCTGGCAGTCAAAGCCGCGCCCATCAACGTCGCCAACGTCGCCGTCGTCGTCGCCCCAGTTGAATAGTGCTAATTATTTAGGGTAAGACTTCTGTCGCTGTGTGTGTGTGTGTGTGACGACCCCCAAAAACTCACTGCGCTGGCCCTTAACCCATTGCCACCCCATGCGCGTCGTTACCAACGTTGTTGTTGTTGTTTTTGTATGCTGGTTGGTTTTACTCAGCCTTAGCGCTGTGAGCTTAGCTGACACAAAAGCGTACGAAGGACAACGGCAACCTCGTCCTGCTGCCACCTCTGCTTCTGTCAAGCAGCAGCCGCAGCACTCACGTCGACTGCGACTGCGACGGCGACAGCAGCAGCAGCGACAGCGACCGAAACGTTGCGACTTTTTCTGTGCCAAAGAGACAAAGCACACAAAAATAATAATAAATGATTGCGTTTTGAGTGTATGTGTGTGCTTGTGTATGCCTTTATGTGCTTAGCTGTTCTGTCTCTGTGTGAGTGTGTGTGTGCGTGTGCGTCTGTTTGTAGTGCATTGTGCATCTTGCTCGTTGCATTTGTGTATGTGCAGCCTGCATGACAGCGAAAGCCTTTGAATTTGTGCACTCGCTGAATTTCGTGTACATAGCTTGTGTATGTCTGTTATATATGTGCAGGGAGTATGTCCCCCGTCTGTGTACATAATGCTAGCCTGTCATTTGGCCTAATACAACACGATTTGAAAGGTGGATGCATATGCCGAGTTTACTTGCAATTAGATTAGTTTAATTAGTCATAATGGCAGCACACAGACCACAGCAACTGCGCTTTACGAGTCAAGGAAACGGTAACATCAAATCCAATTAGAGATCTTTTGAGAAATCAATACGAGAACACTATGCAACCAGTATTAAGAAACGTCTGGATCCCATTTGTAAGCACAGCATGAGTCAATTCCATGCTTTAACTTGTTGGGAATTGTAACGCATCGAGCGGCGTGTCCATGTGTTTGCATACAAAATTCTTTTTTTTTTCGTTTCATATGGGCTCAATCAACAAAAATACAAATTTCAAAGAACAATTTCGCGTTGTCTTTGTGAAGAAAAAGTTCGTAAGTTATTTATAGATGCAAATCATTCTCAAATGAAATAAATGAACATAAAAATATAAATATTTAAATATATTTATATAATTTGAGCCTAAAACCAGATTTTTGCTGCACACTTTTGCAATGCCGAACAAGTTTCCACTTTGTTAGGTAACATTAGCTTTTGTTAAGCGTAATCATTAATTTAAACAGAAATGGATAATATTGTTGTGCCAAACTTGAAATCTCTTGTAGACATATGGCTTATGGCAGACCGCCAGATATATACATATGTACGGAGAATAGTAAAACTCGTACGTGCTGGGCCTTGACTTGTTTAATATTTAATGGCTTATTTTCTTAAGCAAGTTATTTTAGTCCAATTTAACTACTTCTTATAATAAAACAGATGCTGTTGATATTACTCTCACAGCCGTTTTTAATTTTGGAGGAATTATTCGTACTACAATAATATGATATAGTGTACCTATCCGAAAGATTCTAAAATACTTACTGAGAGACTATATCGTGTCGGCTGCTTTTATTAAGGACACCCAGGCGGTTATGATAAAAAAATAATATAAAATATCTAAAAAGGTATAAAAAATCACATTTAATCAAAGCAATCATTTGCTAGAGAACGTAGGAATGTCCATTATCCATCATATGTGGCCTACATTCGAAAATAATAGAGTGTATAAAAAGGAGAATTCTTAATCCGTATATAAATAAACATCTACTGACACACTGAAACTTATTTTCAACAATATCTCTTATTTTTGTATCTTTTGCAGAACAATTCCATATCTTTGTGGGCGACTTAAGTTCAGAAATTGAAACTCAGCAGTTGCGCGAAGCATTCACACCTTTCGGCGAAATCTCGTAAGTATTAAAATGCAAATTTTTCTTTTCACAGCTCACTTTCCGCTCTCGAGGTTGCCTACCCTTACGCATTTTCGCCAGGTTTTCCGCCAATTTTTGGGGACGCGCATTCGACGCTCGCGCCATTTATTGGCAGGCGCATGTGAAGTGGTTGCTGGGCCCAGTAAGCCGCTTGGTGGCTCGCATAAAAAATGCATAACTGCACGAAAAGTATATTTATGTTAATATCACTTAAGCGAACTCTTTTAGCGGCCACTGTGCTGAGCCTGCCAGCTGCTGTCTAAAGTAAACAAAAAGTGTCGCTTAAGTTAAATTGTTGCAAAAATTCCGAGAAACAACAACGTCAAATATTTAAGTTGCTGTTTTTCGGCTTGAAAAGACTCAGGCGGCTAAAGCTGATGGTCAACAGCGACGACAACAACAACAAAGCATAAAACTTGACTTAATTAACTGCTGTTTGGGGCGCAAAGTTTTGGCCCAAATGGCTGACAGAGGCTCTGTGGCATGTCCTGCCCGCCGGCGACTGGTATGAAATGTTGGCCAAAGTATTTGATTTTTGGATTACGCGCTTGTTTGTTTCATCAATGTGCCGACACCCGCCACCCGGCAGCCCAGCATTCCCGCTACCCTTGTTATCGGGCGCAGTTTCAAATGTTAATAATTTAAAACTCATTAAAATGATTAGGGCTTTGATTTGGCTGCGAGGCTTTTGGCCAGTCGCCTTTAGACCGCTTTAACGTGCTAATGAGCGGCGCATGTCTTCTAATAAAGCACTACTCTGTGCCTCTCAAATCGTTAAATTACCTCAAGTGAGTTGGCGTATCGATGGCTACGCGTTTAAGCAGCTGATTTGGCGGCTTATTGAGCAATCGATTGGCACCTTAGCGATACATATCTTGGATAACATATTTACTGATATGATTGCCCGCACATGCAGGAGCAGCAGCAGCAGCCGGAGCGGCTCAGGCAACCGGAAACAGCACAAGCCTCACATCACTTCCCGACAATCTGAGTCCCAGTGTGCGTAAGAGTCTGTGTTCCCGCCAGTTGGCAGCTGGGACTTCAATAACTTTCTTTTCATACGCTGCTGGCATTTGTCGTGAGATGAGTTCTGGTAGCCAACATGTCAAAACGCTTAATGCAAACAGCCGCGACGAACTTGGCTACAGATATTCCGTATCGGATATGGACTCATTCGTGCGTCGCACTGGGATCAGCCGCCGCCACTTTCTTAGAACGGGGCCAACGACTTCTTTGTCAAAAGTTTTATGCGTGGTTGTTTGCCTCTTTTTTGTTTTTGGGTTTTATTTTAGTATTCTTTTTTTTTTTTTTGTTTGCCTGAGGTTTTAGTACATTTTTGTTGTTGCCTGGTTTTGGCTTTGTGTTTGGGGGCCTTGGCGCGTTTCTGGTTCCGTTTTGTTAAATGCGCGGCGCGTGTGAATATTTAATAAGCCAGTCTGCCAGTCCGCTCGACAGCTCTGCCGCCAGTTTACTTATAATAATCATAAAAAAAGTTGCCGGCCACCATTGCCAACGTCCCTGGCACAGTGTTAACTAAACTGCCAGATCAGGGGTAATTGCCAAACTTTGCTGGCAGCCAAGCTTAGCTGTTGCCCTGGCAGCGCCATGGCGGATGGCCCCAAGAATTTGTGGACTCCTTTGAATTGCTGTGGGAAATCAATTTGAAGCGCGGTCGCCGGGCAATCAACTAAATCGCTACTAAAGTGTTGAGATGAAACAGTTTTAATAAAACAAAGATAAATATAAATATTTTAAGTGGTCATATTTTAGCCCAACTGGTTTTCAATTGCTCGAAAGTTATACAGATTAAATAACCTATCATAATCATGTCTAGAAAGTGTTTTTAGTTTGATTATTAAATATCCGAAATACAATGTCGGCCCCAATTGCCTGGGAGAACGAAGCAAAAACATTCCTAGATAATTGTAATCGGTGCTGAAATCCTGCTGTTAAAGATTTTTAAGTTCCTTAAAGAAGCTTATGCTGAATATTAATTTGAATTCTCTCTCACTTTTCTCGTTGCAGCGATTGCCGTGTGGTGCGCGATCCACAAACATTGAAATCGAAGGGCTATGGATTTGTGTCCTTCATTAAGAAATCGGTAGGCGCTGCGACCTTATTTAAATGCATGCTCATGCTTTATTACTTATTATCTATAACGGGCTTATTCTCTTGTTCTCATTCTTTTGCATCGCGCCACAGGAAGCTGAGAGCGCCATTACGGCCATGAACGGGCAGTGGCTTGGCTCGCGCTCAATTCGCACGAATTGGGCCACACGGAAACCGCCGGCGAGTAAAGGTAAGGAAATCATGACTGTCACCTGGCCTGGCCCCAAGCTTCCGGCCATGCGTACGAGTATGCGTACGCCGGCGACCCCGCCAAGCAGCCAAGCAGGCGGGTCAGCGAGCCAGGTGCCTTTGCTCTTGTAGCCATTGTTGTTGCTGTTGTTGTTTTTGCCGTTGTTGCCAGGAGTCGACGCACCGCTCTTATTACAGGAAATTATGGCAATGAATGCCAAAGGTATCAGTGGCACGATACGGGCCAAAGGTAAAGAAGAAAAGTAAGCCGGCGAGAAACCGACCCATCGAGCCACCAACCCGCCGACCCGTCGACCCGTCTGCTATTTATAAACGTGTCGCAGCAAATTTTCTACCAGATTATGTTTTCTTAATATTTTTTGCTGGCTGAAAAACCGCACGCGCTTAATTTCCGTAATGGGCCGCGGCCCAAAAATTCGGTTTAAACTTTTTCAATTAGTCGACGGCGAAAGGTCCCAAAAATAAAAGTAATGCGACATATTCTATTAGGCACGGCGAATCAATTTTCATCTGGGCACGCCCCCAAACGCCCTCAGCTTTCTGTACCCAGAAAACTAACTATAACTAGCGTAATCATTATTAACAGTTAGCGAACAATCGCGACGGAGGGCGGTTCGTTTCAGTTCGTCTTTTTCTCTCATAAATCAAAAGTTAATGCGTATTTGCATGTTTTAACATAATTTTTATTTGTTTGACGTGCACACACACACAAACACACAGACACAAAATTAAAGAGAAAGTAAGAGAGGGCGCAAATCAGATAAATAAATTTTGCCAACACGAAACTATTATCATAAAGGGCATACAAACACAGGCACACACATACTGAGAAACAGGATAGCAAAAATTTCATGGTTATAGAACAAACATTTGGCACACACACACAGCCAGAGACAAGCACACACACACACACACACAGCGTCAAGGTGGAATTTATCGTGCGATGGAGGGTCTGACATGTTGAAGGGTTCCCATTTTTGGGGCAACAACAACTATGAGCATGAATTTTTGCTTTTGCATTTATATTGTTGTCATAAAAAACGCCTATGAAAGCCTAAGCGGATTTTTATTGGTCTCATTGTTTATTTGCCTTTGTCACGGCTTTGTCTGTGCTCCGGCCGAGCGGGAATTGTGCGGGCCGAAGCTGTGGTAGTTGTTGCTGTAATACAAGTTATTATTAGCAATTTGGCAGCGAAATAATTTGGATATTTTCCTTGGTTGAGTAGCTGACTCAGCAACCAGGACCCAAAATCGAAGACGCCGACAAAGATTTTACACAATTACGATCTGTCGTTTAGTCGACGCTCTATAAAGGGTTTTCCATGGGGCTCACACACATGTTTGCCTGTGCTTGTGTGCATAAATGTTTGATATGTGTGTGTGTGTGTTGGAGTAGGTTGGGGACTTTATGGCCTTGTCTAGTTGCTTGGGGTGCCTGCTGGCAGGCAACTCTTACGATTTGTAGCACTCAACTCATTTCGCATTTCGCATTTGGGATTTGGCATTACTTGATGTTTTACGCTGCCACTTTGCTGCTGCTGCTGCTGTGCGGATGCTTTTGGCCAGTCTTGTTCTGGCATTTTTATGTTTTAAGCAGGCTGCACATTTTATGGCCGTGGCAATCAGTCCGCAGTTGCGGCGTTTAGTAAGCCACTTGCCTGCGAGTGTGTGCGTGTGTGTTTCTTTGTGTGTCGCCTCCTTTTGTAGCTAAGATTTACGAGCCGACGCAATTGCGCATTTTACAGTTGTGACAATTTCGGCGTCGCTTTGTAATATTCCGCTTCCTTTTTTTATATTTTTTGAGTTCATGGCTTATAACAAACGCATTTGCCATTTTTTATTGTCGACAACAGCTCGTGGCAAAAGTTTTTGCCAAACTTTGGCTTTTGTTAACCGGTTAAGGCCCCGTCTGCGACTTCATTTCAATGCATGCCATAAATAAAGGCCAAAATACTTACAAGCTCATTATGGTAATAACTTAATTAACCTGAAACAATATGCCGGTAAAACAAAGCTCACGACGACGACGACGACGACGACGACGACAACAACGTCGACGACGATGTTGTATGACAAATTTCTGTGCCAAAACTATTTGACTTTTGACTGTTTTGCAATGGCAAACTGTCGACTGCTGAGTGCTCGTGGACTGAGAGAGACAGGGAGGGAGAGAGAGATGGCGAGTGAGTTGGGGAGCGACACAAACTTGAGGCAAATTATTTGACTGTGTGCGTGGGCCGCCCATTTACCTGGCAGTTGTAGTTGCTGCAATAAATCAACATTTTATGCAGAGTTGCGCACAATTAAGTAAAAGTTGAAATGCCTCAATGCGCTGCCCAAGTGCTGGTTACTGCTTTTGTAATCGTATACAGGAAAAGTTCTAGCCCAAGGTAAATTATGTGGCCGATTCCTAGTCATATGCTGTAAATAAATTCAGCGAACAGCATTGCGCCTAACTTATGACCTACTCGTGAAAGTTGATATTTATGAAAGCATTTTGATAAAAAAAAAACTGGATTTTAATGTCTTATAGCATCAGACTGGAAGCATTATATGACAGTACTTAACGTACAGATATTAAAGAGATCTGCATTCATTTGGTACATAGTAGGAATTCAAATAGTTCGTTTCCCAAAAATCATTTAACAACGTTTTATATTTTTCAGAAAAGAAAAGTGAACTTTAAAATAGAATTTTCTAAGTATATTTCATCTAAATTCTCTACTATTGACGAAAAAATATACAATACTTGAAACATAGCTCTCTCTCTCTCTTTCCCTCTCTCTCTCTCTATCTCTCTCTCTCCATCTATCTATCTGTTTCTCAGGCACGAAAATTAAACTTACATGGTCACGCCCACCTAATGCATATTAATTAGTTGAAAATATGTGGGACTAATTCACAATTGTCTTGCCGCCAGGTTTTTGTGCTTATTGTTTTTGTTTTTGGGTGTGACGTATGCATATAAGTTTGAATTATTTACGTTAATGATTGTGTGATTAATTTATCATTAAGTTGTACATGACACTAATTGCTCATTAAAATTGCAGCAATATAAAAGAAATAGAGAGAGCAAGAGAGAAAAAAAGTGAGAGAGAGAGAGAGCTATACGGACAGACAGTCAGACAGTCGTTTGGCTTTGTTGTTATTCATGTAGCCTGCCCGCGGGCCAGGGGCTTAGTTTTAACGTGATAATTATGTCCACACTTGCAGTGAAAGCTACGGGCAACTACGCCGCCAAGCACTTTAATTTGGTTCAGACATGAAATGAAATGTGGCAAGGGACAACGTTGACCCGCCCAAAAGGTACAAGAACAACGGCAACTGCAAATCGCCTCAAGGCTAAGCACGTACGTGTGTGTATGTGTGTGTGTCGCACCCCTACATATCCAAATTTAATTACACGTATTTAAAAGCGTAAAGAAAAATAGAGGCAAAGAAATGAAACGATGGCAGAGGCACAAAGCAAAGTGCAAATTAGTGAAACATTGCGCTCAAAAGTATGCAATGCCGCTTGCATGAGCCCCTCACGCGCTGAGAGTACGTGAGGGCATCCATATACACATGCATGCATGCAGGTGTGTGTGTGTGTGTGTTGGAGTGTGTAGCCGGCAAGTCGTATTCATTTGTGGCAAAAGCTTTCAAAAATATTTGTAAGCTGGTTAGTTTCTACGTTGCACCCTCGGCAGGGTCTTTGCATGTTGTTGTTGCTGCTGCTGTTAAGCTGGTGCGTGTGTGTGAGTGTTGGTAAGCTGGTGCGTGTGAGTGTGTGTTGTGTGTAAGCGCAGGAATTGTCCTGTTGCATGCTATTGAGCCATATTTTTTTGTGTGGTTGGGCCCGCTGCAAAGCAGCAAGAAGGAAACAGGCAGTCAGTGAGAGCGATATATTGAGTGGAAGAGAAGAGAGAATGGAGAGAGCGAGAGAGACAGGTATAGCTGGCTAGGGGTATGTAATGGCATTTTAATGGCGGGGTAAATTCGTTGCATTACAGCGGTTAGGCTAATACGATTGGCGCAGGTGCGCTACGCTTTTCATTAAAATTATTTGTTATTACTGAACTGTTGGTTCTAACTGATTTTAAGTTATAAAGTGCTAAAGAGATTCTTGCATTTTGAGAAGAGATTAGCGTACGGTTGATATATATAAGTATGTGTGATGACTTGAGTTATAGTTTAATGAAGTTAATCTTTTGAATTTTTAAATATTTGCTCAAGTTTTATTTATTATTATATTTAGATTTAATTTTCTTAAATTGAAATGTTGTACAAATTGACTTAATTTAATTTACCGAGTATTGAATCGGTATTAATACGAATTTTCACGTTCCTTTAAAGTTCGACCCAATGTAACAAACTCAGATCTTCGCCAAAGTCTGATTCACAACGCCAGCAAATTGTTGAAAACTAAACAAAGACATAAACACGCAAACCTGACATTATTTTTAAAAGTGCAAATTTTGTTTTAACCTCAAAGGAAGTAATTAGTGTAACTTTTGCATAGAAATAAGTACGTGCACAAATGCCGTATAGCAGTGCCACCAACAGAACTAAAGGCAATAATGGCAACAAGAACCACAACAACACAGAAAGCCACAATATGGCCAACAATTTGGGTTGCCAACTCCCAATTACTGGCTCCCAGCTCTCAGTTGAATATGGAAAAATACGAAAAAATACGAAAAAATACGAAAAATACGTAAAATATGTAAAATGTGTGTACACCAAATACGTATAATAAAAAATGCAATAACAAGAGCAACAACTTTAAAAAGTGCAGCAACAACAATTGAAGTAACGGTAAATGCTGTCGCACAGCAGTACATATACACCCTTAACACATACACACACGCACACACACACACTGAAACATTTTGACTAAGTGTATGCGGTTATTTTAATTACCAAAACCGTAGGCAACCGACGTTGTAGTCGTTGTTGCTGCGGGCAAAACCCTTAATTAATTTGCATATTAATCATGCAGTTCGCTGAAAAAAAAAAATAAAAACAACAATGGCAAAAACAGAAAGAACAAGAGACATAAAATATAAAAAAAAGGATGTCTGCACGGCAGAGGCATAAAAACTGCAGTCATTAATTGTGGCTTGAGGGCAACATTTGCGAAATATCGAAATGAATTCGCACTAATGGAAATCGTTGCCAATTTCTGTTCTCATATTTCATCCTTTAGAGAACATCAAGCCGTTGACTTTCGATGAGGTCTACAACCAGAGCAGTCCCTCCAATTGCACCGTTTATGTGGGCGGCGTTAACAGCGCCCTCACCGCACTCAGCGAGGAGGTGCTACAGAAAACATTTGCGCCCTACGGCGCGATACAGGAAATACGCGTCTTCAAGGACAAGGGCTACGCATTTGTGCGGTGAGTTGAGAGCAGGCACATGCCACAGGTACCCAGATGCTCATCTGCCACATGCAACATCTTTTGCTTGCAGCTTCTCCACCAAGGAGGCCGCCACCCATGCCATCGTCGGTGTGCACAACACCGAAATCAATGCACAGCCTGTTAAGTGCTCCTGGGGCAAGGAGAGCGGCGACCCGAACAATTCCCAGACTATGGCCAGCCAGGCTTTGAACAGCGCCGCTGCCGCTGGCTTTCCGTATGGCGTGAACGCTGCTGCTGCCGCCGCTGCCGCCTATGGGCAGCAGTTGGCCGCCACTGGGTGCTGGTATTCGCCGACGCCCACCTATCCGGCCTCGTCGGCCACCGCAGCCGCTGTAACACCTGCTGCAGCGGCCGCCAGCGCTGCGGCTGTACAGAATCAGTTCCTGCAGGGCATCCAAGGCTACCATTTCAGCCAGTACGGAGGCTATCAGCAGGGCTACATGGGGTAGGTAAACTCGATGCCGTTGCCATCGATTTATGCATAATTATTTCATTAGCTGATGCGCCTGCGTTGCGTTTCCCATGCCCTGCTCTGCCCTGCCCTGCCCTCAGCACAACTCAATGGTTCTTTACACAAAATGATTGAACCGCCGCCGGGGATGGGCAGCGACAGCATGACGGATGAGTGAATTCATTTGCTAATTGCTAAAGTTTTCATTTGCGACTGCGGCGTATATGTGTACCTGGAGTACGGCATGCAATTCCACATGCTCCACTGTTAGCAGTGTGCTAGCCGGAGTTGTTGGATTTGTAAGTGCAACTGCCATGTAGCCGTAGTCCCCTGTCTCGTTCGTGGTAATTGTCGCATACGACAGGCGTCAGGGAAACGACGCGCAGGCAGATCTCGACATATGGGCTCTGGAGCCATCATCAACCTTTGGCTTACACTCGTGCGCATGTTCTCGTTTTCATTCCAATTGCAGAATGGGTGTGCAGATACCAGCCACTTGGCAAGGCGTCACCCAGGCCCAGATCTCGCCGGCCCAGCAGTTGGCAACGGGTGTTGCAGGCACTGGTATACCACAGGCCGCCGGCGTAGTTGCTTATCCGATACAGCAGTTCCAAGTGAGCCCACAGGTAGGTGCTAACTTAAAACCAATACATAAACGCATAAACACTCACACACACACGCACCACTTCTCACACATACATGCAAAACCAACTCGCAATTGTAAATATATATATTCAATTTCTCGTCGATTCTAGTATGTTCGGTGAATGCTTTGAATACGTTCTCAATTTGATTCGTTCGATCCGGTTGTTTGCTATTTCGCTTATTTATTTGTTTGTTACCTTAGTTAAATATGAGACATATTATTTATAAGCAATATTTTCGATTTTTGTTTTTTTATTGTTGCCTGTTTTGCGATTTTCAGCTAAAGCATGTTGTAGTATTTATTTTAAAATATTGCAAATATTGGCATTTTAAAAAACAAACAGGAAGCGACTTTAATATTCGAGAAAAAAATTTGCGGTTAAATATTAGTAAAAAATATATTTGTTTCAAGTATATTCATAATTATTAAATCAAAAACTTATTCTGAGCGCATATACATACACATTTTTTGCACTGGCTAATGTAAAATAAATATATAATAAACATAAAATTCTTTTTAACAAAATAATTGTATTAAAAGAAAAGTTCTTGCCACTGCATTTTCAAACCCAAAGCGACAACAACGACAAACAAACGAAATTCGCCCTTAAAACCATAAAATTTTAAAATACTTTTCAATGTTTTTTTCATTGCCCACCGTTTACAATAATAATTAAAAATAAAAAACCCTCTAATAAATATTCTCGCCGCATTTGTTCGATTTTATATACATAATCCCTGCTTAAAAGCATGTGCTTTGAATATCAACATATTTTGAAAGTATTGTAAGCATTATTTAATTGTTATTTTTTATTTGTTAATCTCATGCGTTCGCTTAATACTCACGTAGATTATACAACAAATCAAATTTATTTTACTGCTAGATAAAAGGTATTTAATGCAACAATCATAATAAAAGATACACAAAGCTGCATAAAGTTTTCTCTGCATTATAAATAATTTTATTCCGTCTACTATTTTTTTCCAATTTTTACTAACACGCATATTATTTTTTAAGGTTTATCCTTTACTTTTGCAGGCACAGTAAACAACAGAAAAAAAAGAAAAAAAATCTATCCAAATTTTTTAAGTACAGCAGAAGTTCTGAACAGAAACAAAACCAAAAATCAGCTGTAAATAAATGCGAAGCGCCGAGAAATTAACAATTGACGTCAATTTGGCGTCCATCGAATGTTGAGTGCTGCACCCAAATACCAAAAGCCAAAAGCCAAAAACCGAAAACCAAAGTAGAACCACAACAAAATATGCTAATGCACACACATCCATTTGCAATTGTTTATGAAGTATTTGGTTCATAAACACTTGTAAGCGGCCCTTGTATAAGCCTTAAGTAAAAAAAAAAAATATTAAAAAAAATACCAAAAAAAAATCCTAAATGAAAACAACTAATTGCCTATAGCACACAGACAGGTCGCAAACACAAACCGACACACATAAATAAATTTATGCTTTATATAAATGTGTTAAGCATGCTATGAATAGAAAGATTTATAATTAATTGAAGAAAAAATTATGATTATTACAACAGAAATAAATTGCTTTAATAAGTAAAAAGCAATTTGATAAAAAAGTAAAAAAAAAAAAGAGAAGCCATAAATTAAGTATGCTGTTTTCTGTGTGTATTGTGCAAAGCAGCCTCACTCATACAAATTGCGATCACATACACATATACACACAAATAGTCACATGCGCCAGCGCGGAATTAAATGAAAGTAAACATAATTAAAAATGCGTTAAAATTAATTACGCGCACACACACGTACACCTACATTTATTTATATAAATTTTAATGTCTGTATGTGCTGTGACATGCGTGCAGACAAGCCAGACGCAGACGTACCCAGGAGCCCCTTGGCACAGCCCCGACCCACACCCACACCCACACACAGCTACACGCATACAAACACATATACGTACATGTATGCGTAACCGCATTATTTAGGATTGCCTACTTTTGTGCTCAGCTTCTGATAGTCGCTTAGCAGCATTTACCACACACTCAAATGCATACACTATTTAATATCACAATGATAATACACATAGCACTAGTGCCTGTTACTATCGTAGATCTAGACGAGAACGTCGCCACGTTGTCATGTGAGCGCTCACATATACATAGACAATTGCCAGGCCTAGCCAAGACAAGCCAGACAATTGGTGAACTCGACATTTCCTGCTATCATTTTCCTATAGTCTGCAACTTAATGTTACAAAGAATTGTTAGACCTTTGCAACATACTAACGCACTAAAGCTCATATAACTAAATAGTACTTTATTTTGTGATTGCTCAGTAATTGAAAGACATGTTCCTACATACAGATACATACACACACACTCATTCGCAGACAGTCCCAGAACACATAAATACAACCACAAGCACTCGCAGTTAATAGTATCTGAAAGAACTTATGATATACTCGTAAATATTTATTATACGTTGATAAGCGCAACAAAGTCCAATGCAATCCAGCCACAAGCTAAACTCAAACATAAACTCGATCGAAGTCTGCGAAACCTCGTTATATATGGCGTCAAGCTTACGTTTTATCTGTCACACCAGCTTTGTAATTAATAGCAGCAAGATAAACACTTTCATTTTCCTTTATATTGTACTCAGTTTGCAATAATTTCATTTGGTTTATAATTTTATAAGTTCACGCGATTTGAAAAAATTCTTTAAAAAGACATGTACAAAGCAACATTACAAAACTTCCACATAAATATTTTGACTTGCTTTTGCATTTTAATATCAACTGTTTATACTAAATAAACGTATAAAATGTTTATGTTTTTATTTCAGTTGCCAGAAGATGAATGGTTAGCTGCAAATTTATTGTGTTAGAACAAACAAAAACCAGATACAAATTATGTAAACATACATAGATACAGATGAAACCCATGTATTTCACAAGTCTGTAGAACTTGTAATTTGCTATATTTCATATACTCTACCTACAAACATACTCTTATTTGTATTTTGTAAAGCTCAGTCTTGGTCCAACTCGTATTCGATTCTCATTTATTTATTCATCGGCCTTAGACTGGGAATGATTTTTTTCATATCGAGTTCACAAATTTGATAGCCATAAAAATTGGTAGGGAATAGCAAATTGCGAGTGTAAATGGTCTGTGAAATGTATGGGAGAGAGATTAGCTAACACTAGAGGAAACGCCACACAAGTACATGCATACCTACATAGTCGTACATATAATGAATACAATCAAAATATGCCATCGAATGATATTAATTGATATTAGCCATAATAAATGCAAAACTATAATAAAATATGTATACATAGAAATTAAATGAGCGCATAACCAATTCGCTTCAGCAAAACAAACCAAAAATACAATAATGCAAATTCCGAAGATCCTATTTAACTTTATGCATGTCCGACAATGCCCAACAATTACAACAGAAATAACAAAACAGCAATTAGCGCGAACCATACAAAACATCCAGACAGACACGTGGTGAACTAGTTAGTCAGCATAGGAACACACACGCGCACACACACACACATTACTTGATAGTTGAGATGCTCCCCATATATTAGATGTAGAACTTGTCGTATAAGAACTAGCTGACTCATCAGAGGGTACAAAGAGGGTACACTTACAGTGGAACCTGATGCATCGTCACCACGCCTCCAACTGGCAGCCCCCATCTGAGTGTACGTTTGTATGAAAGGCATATAGAAATCGTAGTTCACTGAATGTCAAACAAGAGTTAGTTTTAACACACACATACAAAGATACACACATGCATACAGCTAGAGATATTACTGTTTACATACACATATTTAAAGGTATACATACATACACATTTAGCATAGTAATTTAGTATACTTATACATATACATATATACATACAGACGAGTACAGTAAACTAGGTACGAGAACGCACGGCAAAAGATATTCTCGAGTGTGACCTCCACATACATATATCTATGCATAAGTGTGCGAGTATGTCTTGGATGATAAATTACAAATAAATGTTCAAAATAAAAACCAATTAAAATGATAACAAAAAAACAACATACATATAACATGTAATAGATCAACTAAAAATTATTGCAGTTGAATTTTGCTGTTTAAAGGGGCAGCTGGGGGAAAGCGGGGTTTCGATTTGCATATGGCGCGCATTATCTATATCGTTTCGGCTTATCTTTAGTTTTTTTATCCAAATGGTGAGAGTGTGTGCGCATTGTTTACAATATTTTGTGTACACACTGGCAAAAGTTGGTTTGCATTTTTTCATACAGCCGGGAAGTGCAATGACAGTTAGCGGAGGCGAGGGGGAGGCAAGTAGTAGTACTATAGTTCAAAATACATAATTGAATGTTGTGTATGCATGTCTATAGCTAACCGAGCTCACATACGCAGGATCGAAAAGTATAACCTTTACCTTAACCTTAACCTTAACCGTTACCGTACCCGTAAACGTAATCGTAATCGTAACCGTAACCGTAACCGTAACCTTAACCGTAACCTAATCGAACCACGATACAGACATAGCTTAAGAAACAAGCGAGTTGTAATGTACACTAAGATGTTTTTAGCACTAGAACTAACGAGTAGTTGGACTATGAGAGGCATTGCATGTTTGAACATGACAAGAAACGATTTAGACGTAGACGTGATTTTAAACCGGAGGAAGGCAGAGCGCTCGATTCTGACAAATTGAAGCTGATGCGTTAACTGCATTTTTGTGTTGTTATTTTGTTTATGAAAAAAAAAGTGACAAAATAAGAAATAAAAATGAAGATTTTCGTTAAGTAAACGGTAACTTAGACAGATAAAAATTTAAAGCATTGTTGACCAAACCAATAAAAAAAGTTTAAAAAATTTGGCTATAAGAAAAAACAGAACATTTATGAAAAGCAAACTTTATATTACAAAAAAAAAAACAAAAAAAAATATATATAAAAGTATACAAAAAAAATATATACAAATATTATTGGATTGTTTGTTAATGTTTGCACAACATATCAGTAAAGAGTTAAATATGTAGTTTCCATATAGAAGCTAACCCAGAGTTGGAAACTGAATAATATTATGACAAAACAAAAACTTAAGGCATTAAGATATAGAAAAGTAATAAAGATTCAATAGAAAAAACGAAAGGAAAATAGCGAAAAAAAAGTATTAATGTTGTGCAACTAATGAATGTGCTAAGACATTTATATACGTCTACAAACATATACATATACAAAATATTTATATATATACAGTATCAACAACAACAACAAACGCAACCATAAACCACAACAAGTAAAATTAACGAAATATTTACGGGCAACTACATAATGTCAACCCAACAGACAAGGGAGGATTTTTTGTATAGATTAAGAATGTCAAATTGGACGCGGTAACTAAGTACTCTCCAGTAGTAACTGGGGCTCCAGTCGAAACTAAGTTTCTTACACCCTATTATAATTTAACATGCGTTTTTCTTTTCTCGCAGTCAGTCAGGATATTAAAGCTCATAGCTCAATTGATCTGTTGGATTTCTCTATAATATATTTGCAACTCATTTAATATTAAAATTGAAATTAAAGTAATTGTCGTTTTGGTGAGAACGAAACAAAAATGAACTAATTGTAGTTTATGATTATGAACTGCAATTTCAATTTAGTCAATTTGGTGTGTAATTATTGAAAAGCTGAAACTGGAGCATTAGCAAAATTTTACGACACACATAAGCAAAACGAAAAGGAATATAGGGCCAGGGTTCAGTCTGTAATTAAGGCACGTAGCATAAAATAAATTAAATGAAAATAAAAATGAAATCAAATTACAACAAAGCAAAAACCGAAAATCAATCAAATGAAAGTATTATTTAAGCAACAATACAATAAGAGTATAAACAATTACATAACTTAACATATTTACATAGGGCAGTACTCAAACCCATAAAACCGGAGAAATGCGGTTTGTTAGCTAACACGATGCAAATAAACGTGACATAAATTACATCTAACACAGGCAGTTATGTAAATGGTTTTTTGCTTAATGACAAAGCAGACTTGCAACAATTAACAGAGCCATGGGGCAACCACTCGAAAAATCCCTTCAACCGACGGCCGAATGTTATTTGTCGTCTCGTATACTTAGAAATACAAACATATGATATAAACCAACACAAATATTAAACGTTAAACTAGCAAACTTAATATAATAGAAATGTAAGTACAGCTAGAAGAACCCCCCTTATAATATCGGATGCCAGCGAAATGACATTTGAGGCAGTTGCGCAGCTCACTGGAAGGAAGGAAGCGATCCACAATATATTTGTGCAATATTCCAGAGGGCATATGTATGCATTTTATGCATTTAAAATCATAGTAAGATTGTAAACAAAATTCACAACAAATGTAGAAGAAATCAAAATGATGAGCAAATAACCAAAAGCTGCTAATAAAACAAATACAAAATACCAAAGACATGCATATGTAGGTTTTGGAAAGCATCATACTAAGACGCAGATAAACTGTGCGCACCAAATCACCACACACACACACCCACACACACACTCATACATTAATTAAAGAAATACATATAAATAAATGTGTAGTCTATATATATATAAATATATATAAATTGCAAATATGTGTATTAACACATAAAATATGATAAGAAAATAGCAAATAAAATAAACAAAGTATAGATATCGACTGCAGTATTGCAAATATTTTGTAGAAATTTAAGAATGTTTGAGTGTGTTTTAGGACAAGGATTAGTAGACACAAACCCCAAAAACAAACAGGAAAAATATGAAAGCAAAATATAAGGCAAAGCGGAAAAAAACAGAGAGAAATAAGCAGAAACAAAAAATAAAAGGAATAAACTATGTTTTAAATATACTGCAAAATAAAATATATATCTATATATATATACATATATATATATATATGGCATCGAGCATAACTACATAGCTACACAGTCACACATACACATACACACACACACATCCATACATATATACAAAATGGCGTTTTCATAAGAAATCACAAGTGAAACAACGTAACGAATATTAAAAGGTTAATCAAATTAAGCATAGCAAACCCCAAAATGAAAGAAAGAAAATATTTATAGTTAAAATGAAAACCAAAAGAAAAACACAAAAATTTGGTCGCGTTTTTTGTATACCAACGCGCCAGAGTAAACCAAATTAAAAGCAAGCAAAATATACAAATTATATACAAAAAAAAAAAGGAAAAAGGAAAACAATGAAAATCGAAAGTGCAGGCTTCTCAAAATGAGGTTCGAATGTAATTATAAAGGGCCAGCACAGAAGTTAGGACCTAGTCGATGAGTTGCCAGCGAGAAGAAGCATTAAGAAAATATACAAAGCTAAACAAAAACAACATGAAGAACAACTATTGCAACATAGAAATGATGAATAGAAGTAACACGTAATATAATATTTAAAATAAACGGCTAAAAACAAAAACTTATATTATGTATACATAAATATATTGAAGGAAAACAAATAAAACAAGCAAAAAAAATTTTGTAAAAATAACATTGAAAATTGCATTTTATTTCAAAGCTAATTGAATAACTATGAGTGTATTCAGTCTGATTTAATAACATTACATTCGTTAATCTAAATATTTTTGAATATACCTACATTGCCTCACATTATTCTCCAGCCGGATGTGTGTTGTTTTAGGTGTGTTTTCGCATAATCGACACCAAGTCAAAAATTATTTCAGGTGAGTTTTATGTGGAAAAATGTTTGCTATGCTAGACGAGTGTGTGTGCATAGGATGTGTATGTATACATATTTGTGCATCTGTTATAGGTACATATAAATTCGAGCGTATATACAACAAGATGTTGCCATCCCCTGATCTTGTTGAACTGCTCGGTTTCCCGCCTAGCATAAATTGTCATAACAAAGGCAAAAGACAACACGTGCAACAATAACAAATCAAAAATTTACAAAAACAAAAATAAAAAAGAAAAGACAACGCAATGAAAACACGCACAGTTAAGGCAATTGCTTGCCGCGGGGCCAAGGACTGCGCGGCCGGCATCGTACTGGGGGCCGGAAAACTGCCGGTAACAGGAGCACCGAGAACCGAGAAGCGAGCAGCGAGCAACGCAAAAATGCAAAGTGAAGCAAAATGTATAAAACATATTTTTTGCTATTTTTTGTTTGTTTTTTTTTGCCTTGTTTCTGTGCCACGGCTGTTGCCGCTTTTCTGTAGTTGTTATTTCGCGTTGCGCCGCAGGTTAAGACCAACTCACACACACGCGCACACACTTCTGCTCCCTGTGTGCGTTATTATCGCAATGGTTTCAAGCATAACGGACAGACAGCCAGACAGATGTTCGCGGTCTTTGAAGCAACATATGCGCCGAGGTTTCACTTTTATTTCCACATATCGTGTAAGTGCGTGTGTGTGTGTGTATGTGAAATAATGGCGCTATGTTTGATTTGCATTGCAAATCATGGCAATTTTGCAAAATGTCTTCTTATATAAGAAACAATATGTTTTATTTACTTACATTTCGACTTTGATTTCGCCGACTGCCTCTCCCCTTTGGGTTTTATGGAAACGTGCGCTTATAAGCTGCCTGGCATTGCCTATGTTTTTCTTTTACGAGTGCGTAGTTGAAAAGCTTAAAGAAAGTACAAGTTTCAAGTACAATTGATAAATTTAACTCAAAGACCTTTAAAGTCTTGAAGTTTATAAATAAATTCTTAACTCTTTTCTACATTCATTTATTGTAATATATTTTTTCTGCATCATACATATATTGTTAATAATTTTTCAATAATTATGCCAATGCTTGCATAACCGAAGCGTAGCCATGGCCAGATGGGGAGCTGTTTTGGGCATTGCCAGCTTAGCGGGGGCTCACAAATGGCATCAACTGAAAATATTGGCTAAAGCTTGCCACATAAAAAGTAACGATTGGTTTACCAGGGACTTGGGGCCATTGAGCTTGAGCTGAAGCTGGTGTTGTTGCTGGCGCTGAAGCCTTTCATACATATCAAGTCCCTGGGCGCACACATACACGCATAAACTGCGCAGGTGGGCGGGTACTTCAAACAATGCACACATCATAATATTTTTGCAGACTTTATGGACGCCATCAACTGGGGCTCGAAGCGATGCTGCATTCTGGCATGCAGACGCCATAACGTGCATTACCTTTACGGTTTGGTGTCCTTGCTGCTGTTGTCGGTGCTGCTGTTGGTGCTGATGCCGCCTGTTTAGTTAATAATTCCCATGCATGGAGCCATCTCCTGCTCGCCCATTGCCTAGCTGGAGCGACAACGTGCACGACAGTGGAATAAGAAGCATTTGGTGCATAGGAGGATATTTGCTGCATATAAAGAATGTATCTGTGGTGGCATGGGAATTGGTTGAAGACGTGCAACTGCAACGGAAACCGGAAATGCGCAAATAGCAAAGCACTAAAGATTTTGACGCTCAGCACGGTACGAACCGTCACAGCAAGCAAGGCCTGGCTGCTTTCACTGGCGACCACATGCTGTGCGCCAGCTCGAATAGCAGCTTCCCTCCTGAGTGGCTGCATATCCGACTTGCCGATAAGACACCCTAAGCGGGCAGCAGTTGGTGGTAGGGGGTAGGTAGTGCGCAGTCGGCAAAAGGATATGTGCTCAGTTGACAATTGAATGCCGCCGGTGCGAAAAGGTAATTCCTCACTTGATAAAAGCGCAAGTGCCGTAGACCAAAAGAAAAACTCTAATTGGGCAATTTAATCAATTGAATAAATAGTCAATCCCGAGGATGAATCGCATGATACGAAATTTTTGGATGCTGGTTAAGGACATGGATGCCTGTTGTTCACATTTTATGCTCGTGGGCCAAGTCGCGGCCACATAATGCCATATTGCCCAATGGCATATTAGCGGACGCT